TATATATAATAACACATACATATCTATGCCGCGGTGCAAACTAGAGGTAATGATGTGCAGATAGTAGTAAACATGCAGAAGAAGAAAAGTGCCCGCTGCCACACGCCTGTCTTCCTTACCATATGCCGCACCAAAAATACGAGCAAAATCATCCTCATCATCATCATCATCATCATCACCATCACCATCAGAATAGGGGCGCGAAAGATAAATGCAGTGCAGGGTTGACTGAGGGTTCCCGCTAGATGCGTTATTGCTATTGTAACGGTTAATAAAAACTCGGTAGGCGGTCGGTGGAACGACCGTCCATCCACCCTGTGTTGTGTAGCACAACAACAACAATAATAACTAGTGGTAGAATGCTGCGTGAAGTCTCGCGCGAAATAGTGAGAAATCTCTCGTAAAGTACAGAGAAATCTCGCGCGAAATAGCAAGAAATCTCGCGTGAAACATGTGAGAAATCTTGCGCGAAATACCGAAAAATCCTGCGCGAAATAGCGAGACATATATAGCGATAACTTCCAGCACCGAAAAACTTAGAAAACGTCATTGGAATTCGTGTGCTAAGGTGCGACAAGCAAGCAGTCAGGCGGGCACAAACCTATGCTACATGTATATATATATATATATATATAATATATGTGTACGTATGTATAGCTACCTGTGATCGGAAAGGTCAACAAATCTACTGCTTATAATCTATGAAGTACGTAGGCACAACACACGCGTTGCGGCATATTCTCACTCTTCAATTAGTAACACGATATTAAGTAATAAATATGTGCTTCAAAACTCTCGGTTGCGTATTCCTGCCTCTCAGTCGAAAAACGCGCACTGCAGAGGCAATAAAATTCATCATATTTCAATAAATGCATCGCGCCATGCAAGAATCATGTATAATATATATATGCGTATGTATTTTTATGTATAGAAAGAGAGAATAATGAGTGTGCATGATTGACACCGATGAAATTAACCTACTGGAGACTTGGGGACGGTAGACGTGTGGATCGGAAGTGATCACCGGCGCCACCTACCGATCGGATATATATTTACAGCGGTCAGCGAGTGGCCGTCACAACATCGGCGAAGGATCAGTGCGCCGTTGGGTCAAGCCATCCTGAAGCCAGCCTTGCAGAATTCCCCGACGAAGACAGACGTGCACGTGGCGCACTCTAGTGTTCTTTGCGTCGACTTCCGCCAAGTCTTGCGCATCTCGAGTTCCGAGCACGTGCCTCGCCCCGCCGGGCCTCGCTCCCACTGCCGGGCTCCTGCTCTCCCGCCGGGCCTCGCTCCCACTGCCGGGCTCCCGCTCTCCCGCCGGGCCTCGCTCCCACTGCTGGGCTCCCGCTCTCCCGCCGGGCATCACTCCCACTGCCGGTCCTCGATCCCTCGCTGGACTCCCACTCTCCCCGCTCTTCCCGCCGAGCCCTCTCCCCTCTCCCACTCTCCCCCTGCACCTCTCCCGCTCTCACTGCACGTCCCAGATCTCGGCGAGCAGCGGCGGCAGCTTGTGGTGCTGCAGCTTCAGCGAGAAGAGCATCTCCGAGTGCTCGTTCGAGAAGCTGCGAAGCTCCGTGAGCTTCATGAGGAGGCGGGCGAGCACGTTGGACGAGGCGCCGGGCGGACGCTGCAGCTGCGTGTACGCGCGCAGCGCCTCCAGGTAGATCTCCTGGATCTTCTCGACCTTGCGCGGGTCGACGAGGCTCGGCCGCTCTGCAACGAAACGAGACACTGTGAGAGGTGTTAGAGCTAACTGCATGCAGCGCCCCGCCCCTTCGTACAACTCAGGATACCACTGCCACAAGGCTCGTACTATTTTTCAAGTGGGCGGAGCTCCGGGTTAATCCAGCGAATGGCAATCCAATAGCCGCGTATGAGTTGAAAGTAGTAAATGAGCACACAATCCGCGCACTATTTCGTATCACTATTTTATCAAATTTTTCATAAAATAATGGTCGGATTTTTAATATCTTTGCAACTTTTATTGATACAAATGTTATTACATAGGATACGAGTAACCTAGCCGCTGTAAAACTTGTGGTAAAAAAGTGTTAGAAATTCTCACGGAAATCTACTTGAGGCAGTAGAGAATTGAGCCAGAGCGAGAGCACCATCTGTCGTGGAGTTTGGTGTTAGATATGTGTGCGGAGCCACCCCACCTCCTTCTTCTCAGCTTCCTACTCCCTCTTATTGTCCTCTTGCTCATTCTCCTCCTCCCCCTCTCATTGTCCTCCTACTTATTCTCCCCCTGCTCATCTTCCTCCTTCCCCTCCTCCCTCTCGTTGTTCTCTTACTCAATCTCCTCCTCCTTCTCCTCGCCTCTCTCTCTCATCCCCACCTCTTCCCCTGCATTTCCTCTCTCTCCCTCCTTCCCTCCCTCTCCTCCCCTCCCTCTCCTTCTCTACCTTCTCTCCACCTCCCTTCCCTCTCTTCCTCTCTCGCTTGCATGCGTACCTGATAAAATAAAAACCGTTAATTTCCTCCCTATCTCCACCCTCTCCCTCCCCTTTCCCACCCTCTTCCCTCCCTCTTCACCCTCCTCCTCCTCCCGCACCTCCTCCCTCTCCCCCTCTCCAGCACATACCTGAGAAGATGACGATGGCAGTGAGCAGGGCGTACTCAGCGTTGTCCACCTTCATCGCCGCCATGCCGCGGCTGAACTCAAAGATCGTGTCGGCCGTCTCTCCGACGCCCGCCTTCCGGTACGTCTCGCGCGTGTACGGGTGTCCGTTGCCGAACACCACGGCGTCCGTGTCCAGGTCGTAGCGGCGCGCAGACCGCAGCAGTATCACCTCGATTGCAGACGCCTGAGAGAGAGGGAGACAAACGCAGTCGTTGAAGCGTCGCGAGCAAGAAAGAGAGAGAGAGAAAGAGAGAGCGAGAGAGCGAGCAAGAAAGAGAGAGAGAGAGAGAGAGAGAGAGAGAGAGAGAGAGAGAGAGAGAGAGAGAGAGAGAGAGAGAGAGAGAGAGAATCATCCTTTGTGAGTTTATTTTTTTTATACAAAAAGCAAGTGGCAAGTGGACCATCTTTTATTAAATCTATCTAGATAACTGTATTGTGCAGCAGGGTATTCTTCTATTCTGTAATAAGCTGCTAATTCTAATAAGCTTTTTTAATTTGGTCTCTATATTGTTGCTGCTTACGCAAACAATACACGATCTGCACAAAACCTCACTACTAGCCAAGCTGCAGCAGTATCTTCATAGAACCACAACTATATACCCATTAAATAAGTTCATTCGGTTGGTCGATAATAGAGCTACTTGGTTAATTTTTACTCAACCTTTTGGTTGAGTAAAAATGAACCAAGATAGCTCCATAACTATATATAAACCATGATATTTACATAGAGTTATATCTACATAGAACTGTAACTACGTGGAATCGTAACTACACAAAATTGTAACTACATAGAACTGTATCTGCATAGAAATGTATTTACATAGAATCGTGACTACAGGTGTAGCCGTGTCGTCACTACATGAGGGGAGAGGTTGCTACTGACCTTGTGCTCGATGCCCGCGACCTCCATCCCCGGTCCCAGCGGCAGACGCACGTTGTGTTCAGCCAGCAGGGGGCCGATGCTCTGGTCCAACTCGTGGTTCAATACGCTCTACAACAAACAACAACAGTGTGCAACGTTAGCGCAACAACAAACAACAACGATGTGCAACGTTAGCGCAACAACAAACAACAACAGTGTGCAACGTTAGCGCAACAACAAACAACAACAATGTGCAACATTAGTGCAACAACAAACAACAACAGTGTGCAACGTTAGCACAACAACAATGTGCAACATTAGTGCAACAACAAACGACAACAGTGTGCAACGTTAGCACAACCACAATGTTAAGAGAGAGTGAGAGCGTGAGAGGAATGGCGTCAGCGAGTGGACGTGATTTTTTTTAATTAGTTTTTTCAATGTGAGAGATCGAATCAATTAATTTTAATTTTAATTTTAAATAAGATCTCTTGATTAATGAAAAATTATATTTATTATAATACAAAATAAAACATTAATTTAAGAAAAGTTCCTCCATTTCGAGAAACAAACGCCGTCGATGAATTAGAGTGGGCGTAAAACTTAGATAGAGAGGGAGAGAGAGAGAAAGGCATCGCGTCAGCGAATTATACTTAGAATTAAACGAAAAATAAAAGTAGACTTGGGTGTGTTTTTTATAATATCATGGTTAGGTACCAAAGGGCGATATGCGCTACGCAACACAATAAGTGCTACTGCTATACTAATGAGTTTGTATATCATGAGAATCTGTTGTAAGATTTCGTCACTAACTCGTTTTCCGATCCGCTCGGCCGGTATATCATCCGGTCTTGTTAAATTCCTCCCCCACCCCCGCGCGAGTTCGTGCGCACCGCGCGACCCCCTCCCCCCCGTCGCCGCCGCAGCAGCAGTAGCAGCAGCAGCAATAGCAGCAGCAGCAGCAGCAGCAGCATTAGCAGCAGCAGCAGCAGTAGCAGCAGCAGCAGCAGTAGTAGTAGCAACAGCAGCAGCAGCAGTAGTAGCAGTAGCAGCAGCAGCAGCAGTAGTAGTAGTAGCAGCAGCAGCAGCAGCATTAGCAGCATCAGCAGCAGCAGCAGCAGCAACAACAACAGTAGCAGTAGCAGTAGCAGCAGCAACAACAGCAGCAGCGGCAGTAGCAGTAGCATCAGCAACAACAGCAGCAGCAGTAGCAGCATTAGCAGCCAACGAACCCCATCACACATCGTTACGTTACGCCGCAGCCGCTAATGTATAAAGTATGAAATTGTAACGCCAACGTCACTTTCCTGCCACTTTCCATTAAAATACGACAATCGTAAAAAAACGCGGCGTAAATTGCGCTACGTGAAGGAAAACGGAATCGGGTTGTGTGAATTCGCGCGCGCCGTGGCCCGACGACCCGTCACGTCAGTAGTAGCTTGCGTCATAATACCGCGCGCGCGCGTGCGCTGCACGGCGGGGTTAGCAACGGCGTGCACGCGCGCGTGTAAGTGGCAGCGGCGTGCGTGCGCGCGTGTAAGTGGCAGCGGCGTGCACGCGTGCGTGTAAGCGATAACGTCGGGCGTACGTGCGTGTAAGCGGCAGCGGCGTACGTGCGTGTGGAAGCGGCTGGTCTGCTTGTCGCCACCGTTGATGACGTACGCCATGTCAGAGGTGAGCACGAACGCCACTCTGTCCCTGTGAACACACACACACACACACATACATACATACATACACAAACATGACACAAACTTAGCCATGCACACAGGCGAACGCACACACACACACACACACATGCATGCCCGCACGCATGCACACACACACACACACGCGCGCACGCACTCGCACGCACGCACGCACGCGCGCACGCACTAGCACGCACACACACACACACGGACACGCATGCACGCACACACACGTCACACCCACCCACACACGCACGCACACACGCACATTATTGAGTAATAGAAATATTCATAAATATGTAATAGATACGTGTACAAGTGTTAGATAGGTACATACATACATGTGTGTATTTCTACACATATAAATTTCTAACAGATAGGTGTATAAATATTTGTCAAGACATGTATAAATATGTAATAGACACATGGTAAGAATATCTGTTAGCTACATGCATAAATATGTAAAAGAGACATGTATAAATATTTGATATAAAAACGTGAAAAATCGATCCCACCTCTTGATACTTCCGAACATCTGTGCATCGCCCAAGAACTTCCCAAAGTCGATGTGGAACATGTGACCATGATGCGTAAGCATGATGTTGTCGTTATGGCGATCGCCGACGCCGAGAACGTAGGTGGCGACACAATAGCCGGCGCACGACAGCGTGAAGTTGTCGACAGCCTGTCGATCATAAAGAGATGCGTAGAGCTAAAAGTGTGACTTACTAGTGACTAGATACAGAAATAAATATCACGAAAACCTACTACAATTTTTCTAAAAAAAAATAGAGATAATAATGAACGAATGAGAATAAATAAATACAATAATAAATAAATAAATATGACAATACATGAATAACTCTCTAGCTTTACTGTCTAGTGACTCCACCTGTGGGCCAGATAAGGCTTAGAGAGAATATAAAAGAAAACACGTAAAATAACAAAAATGAAAGAACAAAAAATTAATAATAGCACGTAATAATAATAATAACAATAATAATATATGATGGCACTAAATAATGATAAATAAAAACAATAATACTAATAAGAAGAAGAAGAGCAATAACAATAATAATAAGAAAAACAATAATTATAATAATCATAATATTAATTAAGTAAATAAACGACGGTGCAGCTTACCCGCTCGTATTCGAGTTCGGTAGGGTTGTGCTTCTGCAGCCACTCTGCGATCGGCCTGTCCTTGAACGACCCTGCCAGGCCGTGCTCCACCTGAATCTTACGCAGCGTCTCTGACTCCTGCACCATCTCCACGATGCCTGGAAGAATGACGATGCAAGCGCAGACGCGCCGCTTCGAATCACGAGTCACTGAGTATCACAGGTAGCGTGGGGGTTAGAATTAGAGTTAGGCTTTGGGTTAGGGTTAGGGTTAGGGTTAGGGTTAGGGTTAGGGCTAGGGTTAG